TCTTTATTAATAATCATAAATTTTGGTCGAGGAAACTTACCATGGGTAGTGAGTGGCTTATAAGTAGATTAGTCTTAAAGCTAAGTATCTATATTTGAACCACTAAGTGTGTTAGCAACTCTGCTAATTACTTTTATCAACACTAATGAGGTAATCTTTTTCTGATCCAAAAATTTATCGAGAAATAGGGAAGCACATGTTCCAATTTATTAGTCAAAAAAAAAAAAAAAGAGAGGTCGAGTATTTTATGACCAACAGAAAAGTATACATTAACCTTTACTTTATGACGAGACTTGAAGAAAAAAGAAGAAGTGAAAATGAAGAAGAATTTCTAAAGACTACATTATTGTAAAGAGACTAGGTTATTTTAATATTAACAAACTTTAAATAAATGTTTAAATTACTTTTAATCAGTTTTATTTATTAAGATAAGTACCAGAAGATAAATTCAACTAGTTCGATATGTTAAGACACCAGCTTATCAATGAATACGCAAAAGTCTATTTATTTAATGTTTCCTTTATTTATCTAGGATGGTTTCACAGTATTTGAACAATCATAGGCTGTCAAAATTTTGCATTTATTATCATATTCACTATGGTTAAATATGTTGAATTTAGGTTAGTTTTAAATTATATATATTCCCATTCAAAGGATCAACCTTTTCATAATAAAAATTCCCAAAATGTTATCTGCTCATATTTTTGTATGCCAATATCTAAATTCTGTACGTAGTCTCTTATTAAATTCCACACCACTGTAAGAACGTGTTCTGTTTACTGCAGTTGATGCATAAATCTACCGCTAGCTAGTACGGCGAACGAGAATGTTCTCTCTCGGTTTCGATTTAGCGCTCAGATTTTATCTGAGAAATGTTAAAGGCATAAAATTGTACGAAACATGACCTCCATTATCACTATAAATGAGTGTTTAGTTGTAAATTTATTTTCATTTGATACGATAAAGAATGGTTTACATATTATTACTCTTTTGATTATTTCAGACGAAAGCGTTCAGCCAGAAATAATTTACTTTTAGGGACGAAGGGGGGTAGTTATTTTAACTAATACATTAGACTGAACTAATAGAGTTTAAGACCCACCGCAGAATCTTTATGATCTCATAATATGGTAATGTGCTCACCCAACGATTAAAAATAGGTCAAGTATTGGGATCTGTCGCATGTTGCTACGACACCTGGTGGGTCGCTGAAAGTGTGTTCTTAGCATTTCAAAACAGAGGATTACATTTTACCAGGTAATGACAAAAACACATGAGTGAGGTTATGTTTAATTTACACAATGCATCCGCTGATAAAAACATTGTTATTGAAATAATCAAAACATTTGTTAATAAGTTTTTTTAGACTGGAAGAAAAATATATTTAAAATTTGAGATTAGATTCCATGAGACATACCGGTAGCAATACAGTACAGCACTGGAATGTTTACAATTTTCTCCTAAACCAGCCTTACAAGAACACTTGCACTTTAAAATCTTGCCAATCCAATTGATAACAATGTTAATTTCATAAGGTTTTTCTCTTAAATGTGACGTTTGCAAACAGAATGCATTTTATAACGTGTTCCGCTTGTAATACTCTTTCACCCTCTACAAAACATACCTGGAGGAGATTTTTTCCCGCGTGTTCACAAATTGCTTCCAATGTTAATACCATTTTTTAAAAATTCACTACTTATCATAGTGTGGCTGTACGTTATTGTACTGTATTGCATTGTACGTTCACCATGCTGTGACGTGACCGATTAGGCTCCTCCCAGACGTCAGATCCCAATAGGGAGTTTGGGAGTTATCATATTAAAGATATGGTTTATTAGACTTGTATAACGTTACGCTTGCGTAGCGACATTCGCGGTGCGTAAGTCACAACTTAATATCGCAGCGGAATAGTAGTATCCCAGACGGTAATGACGCATGCGGAACAATATAGTTTCGGTATAAACTTTGAGCAAGATGGACGTGAAGAAGAAAGCACTAGCAATGATGATGTTAGTTGAGGTGCAGGACAATAAAAATTCATGATACCTACCAGTTTTTTCCAATTTTTTCTCCGATCTTCCCGTTTAGTTTAAGAATAGCCAACTAATAAGTTCACCTCATCCTCTATGTCCTGCACCTCAATTAATATCATCATTGCCAGAGCTTTCTTCTTCACTTTGTAAGGGGTTTTCTCGCCTCAGAGAAAACGATTAGTTACAAATGACGCCTGTTGACGGGACGGCTCTCGGGCGCCAGATTTTATGTGTGGTTTACTCCACAAACTTTCGAAACGACGTCGAAAGTACTCGGGCAGCACAGATGGAGATGAAAAATTCCAGAGGTCGTTGGTCACTCAGACACAGGTAATAAGTAACCACAAGTAACGGGCTTTAATCGTGACTTGTGGTGATAAAGAATTTCTCACTGCTGAAATAAAGGAGAAGTAAATTAGGGATCAGTAACCTCAGTAATAGTAAAGGTAACGTTGACACATATATTGCATTTTAACCATTTACAATAAATAATTTGTAAGTCTCTATGCCCAAGCAGGCTGGCTCCCACTCGGTGTGCGCGGATCGCGCGCGCTATCGTTACTCAGGTATAATACGCGAATTTAAATGAAACAAAATTTGATATACAGGGTCTACCCATGAAGTTAAAATAAAATAAAAATAAAAATTTATATCCGGAATATAGTAATGAAAATTGACTTCAATACAACTTCCATCTTGCTCTAATTTTATACCAAAACTTCATTGTTCCACATGCATCATTATCGTCTAGGACACCGCTATTGCGCTGCGATATCAAGTTGCGACTTACGTATTGCGAATATCACTACGTATACGTAAGGTATCGTAAAATGGGGTTACCTTGGAACTTCGGCCTTCTTTGGCAGTTTGGTCATATATATGTAAAAAAAATATATATTTATATTTTTTTTGCGGTTTTTTTAGTTGTTCTCTTTTGTTACAGGTATAAAGTGACCAACCGTGCCTAGAAACTATCAGGGATGCCTACAAAAAACTTAACCTAGCTGACCTTGAAAAAGCGTTGGCTGCCATTAGAAATGGCATGAGTCAGGCAGCGGCCAGTAAACGGTTTAAAATTTCTCGGGGGACCCTTCAAAAAAGTTGAAGGGCGAGCATACGTGCCCTTCAGGTCATCAGACGGTATTTACACCTGCGAAAGAGCAATTACTGACAAGGACATTAATGACAGTGAGCAATTGGGGATTTTTTTTTAGCAAAGCCGATATTCGCGAATTAATCCACAAATACTTAGAAAGGAAAGGGCGTAACGTTAAGGAGTTTAAAGAAAATGTTCCTGGACAAGATTTTTTTGAAAACTTCATATTCCGGAATAATCTGAGTGTCAGTTTGGCTGCAAACATAAAACGAACACGTGCGGCGGTAGGGCCAAATCAAATTGGCAAATTTTTTGATAACATTAAAGATGTTTTGCAAGATATTGACTCCTCTTTGGTTTTCAATTACGATGAAACTAATGCCCAAGATGACCCTGGAACCAAAACGATCATTGTTCCAAGGGGAGCCAGATGCGTGGAGAGAGTTTATCAGCATTCCAAGGCCTCGATCAGTATAATGGTGTGTGAAAAGGCTACAGGAGATTTATTACCCCCTATGGTGGTGTACAACGAAGGCAATCTATACGAAGGTTTAACAAAAGGTGGTACTCCTGGAACAGTCTATAGTAACACATCTAGCGGCTGGTTAGATATGGACCAATTTGAAAAGTGGTTTTTCCAAATTTTATTGCCCAAAATTAAATATATTGAAAAAATAGAAAAAAATTGTTGTTGGAGACAATTTAGTCTCTCATATTTCACTTACTGTCATTGAAGCTTGTGAGGAGAACAATATCTACATAACAGCATTGTCTCTCAACAGCACCCACCTAATGCAACCATTAGATGTGGCAGTGTTTGCCCCATTTAAAAAAAAAGTGGCGTCAGATTCTAGACAAATGGCGTAATGAAACCAAATCAACTTCCTCCATTCCAAAAGAATATTTTCCTGTCCTCCTAAATCGATTGTGAGTTGCAATCAGTGAAAATGTATGTAATAATTTAAAATCTGGATTTAGGGCCACAGGGTTTTGTCCTGTCAATCCTCAAGAAGTTCTGAAAAGAATTCCAGACATGCAAATACAAGTCTATGACGATAATGCCCAAATTGCTATCCTAAATGACAGCTTAATTAATCTGCTTCAAGATCTGCGCGGTTCAAATAAGGAAAAAGTCGCTCGATCACGTGCCAAGAAAATAGAGCCCAGTAAACAACTTAAGATAGTTGCTCCTCAATCAGATGAACCAATCGCTGGCTCTTTAAGGACCCAGAAAAAACATTTCAAACATTAGCGACAAACCACTTACAAATTTAGTTACAGTTTCTACAAAAAAAGCAATGAGAAAGCAAGCAAAAAAGACTGTTAAAAGTACAGACGACGTCTGCGCAGCTTGCTTTAGAAAGTGGGAAAATTATATAGGGCCTGGTTGGATTTGTTACAAGAAATGCTAACAATGGAATTGTGGCTTTTGCAATTAGACGAAAACGGACCCATTTTATGAATGTGCCCTTTGTACAAACGCAGATTTTGACAAAGATGACTCTTTAAAAGATTAATTTTCTTTGTAAAAGACTTCATGATGTATTTAGTTTTTTATGTTTCTTATTAAACTTCTTAAGAATTTATGTTTATTTTCGTTCAGAAATAATTTTTTAGTTAGTTCTTTTGTAATGGTTGGATAAATAAATTATTTATTAATAAGAAATGTATTCTAACTTCAATAACTTCGGAACTATGAAAGATATTTGGACCAAACTCAAAGCTCATTATATTAGGAATACCATAAAAAAAACCATTCTACAATTAGCTGGAGTTCTGTGATGCATTTTAAAATTAAAAATATATTTTTCTATAGGTTTCTTTTTTATATTTAAACTTTATCAAATTTTTATATATAATAATAAACTTACCTCCTTTGAGAATGAAGAAGTATTAGTGGCAAAGGATAGACACCTTCTGCTAAACATTGTACTTTAATGAAGCCTTCGTCTGCACTTAACCTGTGCAGTGTTAGCTCCTTGCCAGATACTGTAACAAAAAGTTTGCAATTAGTAAATGTACCGAAAGTTTATATATTTAAATATGTTTTTTGTACTAGGGCGAGTTGTACAAAGAATTCTGTACACTCAGTTTAGCTAGCAGTATTTAATTTAATCAGTAACTAAAGTAAAAATGTCATTTTTAAAACCTTGTTTAATAATTACCGATTAAGCCGGTAGGCCAGGATTTAATAAATAAAACTACTTTTTTTAAGTTCAAGATGGTTTACTAACCTAACAAACAAGGGTGTGTCGATTCACCTGTCGTCTACCTGACATGACATGTGACATTGACAAACTCACCTATGACCACTGTCCAGCTAGACTAGAATGTTAGTAGTGTAACTAGATCTATCTTAAAAATTATCAATATTTGGATTATCAATTTTACTTAATCAAAACATTTAAATCTAAATAAATAAATAAAGTGTCAAAAAATTGACTTTTAATATTATTAAACTTGGTTTACATATAGGGTACACCAGATAATGCAAATAACTCAAAAAACATTTTGTAAAGTACCTACATATACTTTTAAATGATGATTTTATTATGTACCCCGTAAATAAAAATATATGCATCCAGACCTGAAATTTCCTGATCTGACAGATATAGTACTCTGTGTCGATTGCTATTCTACTATAGTCACATACTTTGATTACTATACGGTGCAAGAAAGAGGTCCGACACGCCCAACATAGGGCGCGGCCATTTTGATGCCTTTACCACAGTTTATAGCTTAAGAATCAGTTCGCTCACTCTGCGTCGACACTTTTGATATCAATGTTCCAGTTTATACACTGCGCAACTCGGATAATACAATATATGACAACCGCCTATAATAAAACAGTAGTCTTCTGCGCATCCTGATTTGTATTCCTGGAGTGGATGTTATTTTTGAACTTTTAACTAATGCGAGTGAGCTAACTGATTATTTAGCAATAAACTGTGACTTCAAAAATAATATTCACTGACACTGACAGCAGCAAGCAAAATATCAGGTGCGTTTTAATCATCCGCTTCTGCTTCCGGAATTGTCGGTTTCGTCGTTTCAACCTGTCAGATTAAAACAAGAAAACCGACAATTCCGAAGCAGAAGCGGATGATTAAAACGCACCTATTAAAAATATTGCGTCAAGTGGTAGGCAACACGTAATTCACTGTGTGCATTTGGCTTGGAGGGGATAGATTGAGCTATCGCAGCGCCTATGGTGGCAGGAGTCGGCGATTGTCCACATCATCGTAGTAGCGCGGCAGCGTGTTGTGGGTCTCGTGTTGGGTATTAAAATGAGTCGTCGTTATTGTAGTGTTGTCGAGTGTAAAAACACTAGCAAAAATAGTGCGTGTAAGTTTTATACGTTTCCAACCGCATCACATAAATTGGAGCAAAGAAAGAAATGGATAGCAGCTGTGAAAAGAAAAAGTGAGTAACATAACCTCTGTCGTATATATATCATAAACATCGAAAGTAGGAGCGGTATTTGAATGCTCAAGTAATAGTGATAAATAAATTATTTATAACGTAATAGATTTAATGGTTTTTCCACAGCGCTGATGGTTCACCTTGGGTGCCAAAACGGAATGATTATATGACGTTTGTCTAATGACACCAGCTCGGATAAAAAGGCCAACACCTGACTCTCTGTGCTCTTTGACATTTATGACATGCCCAGCTTCTACCAAATCTTTACCTTTTCTTGGCGTTTCAGGCTGAAAGTTTATGTCATGAGATATTTTCTCAAATCCAGTGTACAAGATGACACTCATGACAAAAATGTAGCATCTAAAAATACAGACAAATTACATTGATTTATGACATTCAAAACGCAGATACTTCGTATGCATAACCTCCAAATATTTTTATGTTATTTACTTACTTTTTGTGCGACAGAAACAATTTTTGTTAGTCTATCAACTAACAGCGAACACAAAACTTGTTGCAACACTTAATTGTTGAAAAAGAATTTTCAAGTTCAACTGTTGAGTGTGAGGTGTATAGCAAGTATGCGGGAATGAATGAGGAGAACTGTCGCTATCCCGTCACCAGAGAGCGCTACCAGTCTTGCTTACTCTGAGTCTTGCACACAGCGAATAAGGCATCAAAATGGCAGAGTTTTCTATCTCCTTCTAAAAGGCACTCAGAAAGCTGCGCAGTGCGACCATTCTCCGTATAGTAAGAGAAAATCAAAGTATGTGACTATAGTACTGGACACTGGCGAAATTTACATTAAAAATTGATAGTAAATTAGGTTACTACAACAATACTGATTAACAAAAAATAGTCAAGATTAGACAGAAAGATAAATCAACTGTATGAACTGCAACGATTTATAACCGTCGTCTATTAAAAGCTGGCCCTCTTTACTTCTGAAATACTTTATACATATTTCTCAGATTTCTAGGAAACAATTAAAATCTTTTGCTCCTTTTCTGGTTTAATATTTTAAATTAATGCCCACAAACGATCCTTCCGCAATACAACGCTATAATTCAGGAACAAAATTTAGAGTAAGAGTTATAAATGTATAAAACTTAATTTCCTTGAAATAAACCAGTTCTAACTCGCCGTAATTGCCGTTATTAATAACAGGGCTTATTAGTAATTCCCAAAGGGCCTACGTTGAGATAAAAAAAGGTAAATTTCCATTGTGTGCAAAGGAAGATGAATTAATGGGAACCGCATAAGGGTTATATAAAAACGACATTAAAAAGTCATACACTCTAATATGTCCAACGATTCCGGAATTTAAATGGAGGATAAATCATTAAGTTCTCGCTTAGGCGGAACAAAGGATATTATTTGGTTACTTAACAAAGGTAACTCTAAAAAATAACCGGTTCAACTGAGCATATAATGGAGTAAAAAGGGATGGCATAGTCACAAGATACGAGTTTCGTTAAAAATATATGCGACCATAAAACAGTGCGGCAATATAGACATAAATTTATTAAATTTAAAGAGTTTTAAATTCATATGCACATATAAAGCTTTCTTACGCGAATTATTTTGATTTATGTTTCAAGAGAAAACTTAAGTAAAATGAAATAACTACCTGCTCACTAGATGGGATATAGGGTGTAACGTGGTGTAACCTTACAAAAAATTAGTAATTTTGGGCAAACATTATGGCGAACCGGAAACTTTATCACATCAGTATCACCTTACCTCATTTGTCATTAGATTTTTAAAATTTGAATGGTTTTATGTAAAGACGAAATATGATGTTAAATAAGTACCGTAATCTGGGGTGAGATCGGACACATTTTAAAGGTTTTTTCTTAATAGCAAGAGGCTAGATTTTTGTAAAAATCTGAAAAAATTAATATAAAAACCTTAAACCTTCCTCTATCGAATACAGTATTTGTTTTTTGCATATTTCAAAAAATTCTATTTTTTTTTATTATTGAAAGGTGTCCGAACTCACCCCTATGGGTGGTCTAAGTTCGGATCACCTTTAATTTATAGGAAAATCCAAACTTAATTTATAGTAAGAGTGTGTTCGGACAAATATAATTAAATATACATATATACAGATTTCATAAAAAAAATTTCTTAGGGGGGATAGGGGTCCAAACACAATTTCGGTACGAACAATTTTATTTAAAGTAATAAAACTCAAATATTTTTACAAAAAAACATAAAAACATTTAAAAACACGTAATAACTATGTTATTAACCAAGAACATAAACAATAAAACTAAAATAAGTTTCCAAAAAATATAAAAACATTTAAAAAAACACGTAATAACTATGTTATTAACAAAGAACATTGCAATAAACTCATTATTCTATTTTGATGTTGTCGGGAAGGTGCTTAAAAAAGTGCCTTCCTCTTCTTATTTCTTTTAGAAGAATTTTTTTAAAAATATCTTTTTTAAATTCCCTCATCAGAAATATCGGGAAATATAAAATAATTATTTTTTTGCCTTTTATTCTAAGATATTTTACTAAAAAAAGCTCTTCCTTTATATCAACAATTTTATCTATAAGACCAACAAAATATCGAAATTTTTTTTGGTCTTCACAAGGAACGGCAACTACAACGAAATCTCCCACTTTTTGATCAACTTCTGGTTCTCTCTCATAAGTGCTGGTAGAAGGTTGCTCAAATACAGACATTTTATTTTCGTCTTCATAAACGTTTTCTTCCTCTTCTACGCAAATGTTTTCCACATCACTCTCCTCAAAAATGATATTTTCTTCTAGGGGAAGATCTTCTGTTCTCACACCTTTTCCAGGGGCAACATTTAGCTTTTTACCCCTCCTCGGTTTTTCGCTTTTTTCCTCCCATCTACAGTCTTTTAAATATTCGGAAAAACTTTGGCTCCAGTGATCATTAGCATTATCCTTTTCTGCTGTCTTTCCGGGCAACTTTTCCAAAACTATTTCAGCGTTTAATGGAACAATTCCACAAGCTCTAAAACCAGATTTGATATTTTTGTCGATATTCGGGCCCAAAGATTCTAAAGTTTTCTTTAAAAGACGAGGAAATTCTGATTTAGGCAGGACACCTTTATTTTTCATTTTCCAATCAGTCAAGTTTGCACGCCAGTGTTTCTTCATGGGGCCAAAAAACGCAACATCCAGAGGTTGCAGCAAGTGGGTGGCATATGGGGGTAATAAAATGAAATGAATGTCGTTTTCTTCACATTGCTTAATCACAAACAGTAACAAGTGACTGGAAAGATTGTCGCCAATTAACAACTTTCGCCCTTCTAACTTGCGGAAATATGGCAAAACCACTTATAAAAACCAGTCTCCAAATATTGGTGTCTCAAACCACCCACTTTTCGATCTACTGTATACAGTGCCTTCTGGGCCCCCTTCTATCCAAGTTGGGTAAATATGAAGAGCTCGGTATACGACATACGGAGGCAGCAAAACACCTGAAGCACTAGCAGCCATCATAATTGACGTGCTGCTTTTAGAAGAATCAATAATTCTAATTATATGTTTGGATCCATTTTTTACCAACGACCTTTGATCTTCCAGAATCGTCAGTTAAATTGGATTCATCATAATTAATTATGTTCTCTGGAGGAATAGGTCCCATAACAGCCTGAAGGTTATCAAAATATTCTTGAACTTTTTGCCTATCGACTTCTGCTCTACTCCTCTTGATATTTTGTGCAAGGCGCTCCGATAAAATTTTATGTCTAAACATAAATCCATAAAACCAATCTTTCCCGGGCATGTTGTCTTTAAATCATGTGATTTTTGTTCCGGATCTGTCCAAATATGATTTGACGATTAGGCGAATATCCAGCCTAGTTAAGGGAAAGCCCCATTCGGCGGAAGTTAAAATTCCTTGTGCCGATTCACTCTCTTGTTCTTGGCTTAATTTGGTTTGCCCGCCACTTTTTTTAGCGTGCTTACCTGTCATTTTGTCATTTATTGTCGATTTTGGTATGTTGTAGAACTCTGCTGCCTCCCTCAGGGTCTTCCTTTTAGTCCTGACATCTTCAACAGCCTTATTTAAAGCCTCTTTGGCATAGTTGGATCTTTGTTTTACGCCAAGAGGACGCCTGTAATTTCTGGGCATGGTGTCCGAACTCGCCCCACGAAAAGCTATATTTTTTCTATAACAAGAAAAAAAAATTCGGAAATGAAAAAATAAATGATAATTATTCATGAATCATTAGAAAACATATAAACCTACATTATATGAAAAATTACGATTCAATTGCTTACAGATCCCTTCCCCCAGATGTTTGTTTCTAACGTTATAAAAAATATGCAAATTACGACCCATATCAAAATATCCCGTACTTACCACAAACTTTCTCTAGCGGCAATTTCTACCTAACTGGAGTGAAATGAGACAATATTGGACATGTAAACACATGCAAAAAACTTCGCCAATGAAAAACGTGCTCGTGGTCACGTAATTTCCCACGCCGCGCACCATTGTCCGAACTCGTACTACCTGTCCGATCTCACCCCAGATTACGGTACGAGTATTTTAAATATAATTATAATAAACAGAACAAAATCTACATGTGAAGTAAATTTCAAAAAAACTATTCTTCAAAATAAAGAAAATACGTATAGAACATATTATAATACTGTTTATCCACCCCCAATAAATATTTATACCTAGACGCTATGTCTATCAGGTGTAAAAGTACAATCACGTATAGCTTCAATATCTGCTAATGAACTCTGCATGTTTGTTGAACTTATGTTACATATGGGAAATGGAGAACAAATAGAATCCAGGATAATTGGAAAACGGATCCTCTTTTCAACTTAAAATGAGTCTGGATCGTTACATTCTAATAGTAAAATATCTTCGTTTAGTTAGAAATTTACAAAAATGAAATTATGGAAAATAAATGTGGATTTTTTTTAGAGAGGTATAATATCATTTACATAGATGTCATAAAAATTTTATATCACCTGACGTGTACCAATAAATCCAATTCCTATTAATTATATCTCTATGTGTATTGTGTGGAGAGTGAAATAAAAAAATAATTAGATGTTTTTCTTTTTTTTATTTTATTTTATTTTCAACAAAAATATTATGGGAAATAAAAAACGGTTTTTTAAAAATTCTTAAAATTGATGTACCATTTTTTTCTACCGTGAGAGAACGTCACATCATCCATCAAATACCCTGTATAGAATATAGGCGTTTGTGAGTAAAATCGAAATATTTTCCACCTTACCTTTTAAAGGGACACCGTTTTTTATATATAGCGTTGCACTGAAAATCCCTAATGGGGTTGTATTTGTATAGGCTAAATAGGTTGTTTAGCCAAAAGGATTGTTAGAGCTGTGTATACGCAAATTTTCTGCTTGCGCGGTTATTTTAACGAACTGTGTAGAGAACGAGAAAAAACGCAACCGTTTAATTCATTTAGTTTCGCTGCCAGAGAGATTAATTGGACGCTTTTGGTAGAGGCAATTAAGATGCACCGTAGTTAATTCGAATAAACTCCAATTAGGATATAAGAAAAATAACAGAAAACAAGCAGGATAATTATTATTTTTAATAATTAGGAGGTCGTTAAAATGATCAACAAGAAATAAAAAAATGATTTTAAATCTAATATATGTAGCAATAGTACATTTAGAATAATTAGCTACAACAACGTATTGGAATCATTTAATCATATTTACGTTAAAAAAATAATAAAGGTCTTTAATTTTCTGTAATGAGGTATTTAGATGCAAATTAGATGATTCACAGCAACAAAATATATTAATATAGATATTGACAAGAATGCCTCATATTTTGTGGACCAGCATTCAACATTTTCCTACCTTAAGTAATTTTGTCCATATATACAATTTTTAATCAAAAATCACATGCCAAGTCTTCTTAATCTGAACTTATGCTTTACTAGGCCCGTTGTGAATGTTTCTAAATTGATCAATTGGTATAATTTAACAGTAAGTTAACCAACTGGTGAATGGACACTGAACGTTAGCTCAAAAGGGACAGCTTATACTAAGCCATCCATTCTACGAGGTTTATGAAGTCAACATATTAAGGTAACCAACTGGCGAATTGACGCTGTTCGTTGCCTCCGTCGGTCATCACCTCTTACTCGTCAAAATAATTACCTAAGAGCGTACAACCTCTGTATATGTAGAATAGAATCAAGCTTGATAAAAATATAAACATCAAGTATACAATTTAAAGTAAAATAAAATTAAAAGGTAAATAATAAAGATTTTCGACGTAAATACCGGCTGTTTCTTTTGTGACAATATTGCAGCTATATTCTATATTATTAATGGTCCGTGACGCAATCTCGTATTGTAAAATTTTGAATTGTTTAAATAAAATCTTCATGGCACAACTCTTGAATGATTAAAATTACTTTGCTTCAAGCACTGTAATGTTACCCCAAACAAATTAACATTTTTTAATAAAACATCATAGTTTCTACCCAATGCTTCGGTCTAAATATGGCGCAGTCAGTGGAATAGACGACACGTTTACTCGTATACTGACTCGAATGTTATAAACTCTATGCAAAATGTATTGTATCATCACAAATCTTAAAGACTTTTTAAAAGTAAAATTTTCAGACAAAAAGGATCAGTATTTAAAAAGAAATTAAAAAAACTGCCTGTCTATAATTTTGATTGAGTATATAAAAAGATTATTCGAAAAATTTGTTTTATAGAATTATATGTCTAAAAATAGCGATACTAAAGAAACATTGTGTATGTGAATTAAAAAACTAATTTTTTAGTTTAGTTTTTGTAGACCTTTAAATCGTTTCCTCCTTATTATCAGAGATAATCTTAACGTTCTCTTGCCATTTTTAATATTCGGTTTAAAATATTCATGCTCCTTCATATTTTGCAAAAATGTATTTAAATTAATAACATCTTCTGGTGTTCTTAGTTTCTGTCACAAAACAAGGGTTTTTAAATTTACCAAAACACCCGAATAGAAATGTTTATGTACCCCATGCTCATTTCATTATAGAATAAAAGGAATGATGTTCTTACATTAAGAACCCTGCCTTGTTTTTCTTTTCATGAATGTTGGCGTATATGTGGAGTAATCCCTAAAGTCTACATTTAACCGGACTTAATGTTGTGCCTTTTTCTTTTATGACCTAACATTAAGCGAAACAATTACACCTTGAATTAAAACGTTTAATTAATTGAATACGCTCAAAAATTAACTTGGGTTTTTGTTAACTGTGGTTTAGTAAACGTAGCAGCAGAACGTTAGTTATACAGGGAGGATGTATCGGTTGAAATAAATTTGATAATTTTCTGTAAATTTTTATTTTCGACTGCGTGTCTTACTCTATAATTGGATATAACAATGACATCACCACTTTAGTATATCGTCATTGATTTTTTTTAATAGAACAACAATTTTTCTCTTCATTTTTAAGTTCATAATAATAAACGATTACAAAAGATGTGGCTTCTTTGAACCTTCATTTCAAGTGCTTGGATTTGCCTCCTAACTAATAAATCCTACCTCTTCAATTATAATCTCTTTTTCCTTAAAGATGAAAGAAGACTTTGGAGTTTAAGGCTTGCCAGCACGTTTTAAAATGCCACTCTTGTTACTCCACTACTAGAATTCCACCTTCACTTAATCAACAGCATCTGCGGTTTAATTTGAAACCTGCCACCTTCTTTGTCCATTTTAATTTGGGTAGACCATCGATTCCAAATTGAGCAATACTATTCTCTTGGTAATTCCACTTTCTCCTCTCCACGTCTATGTTAATTATAATTTGATCATTTATTTTAATCTCTAATTCCACTTTAATCATTACTCTTTAGCTCGCTACAGACTATGCATGTATTGGCGATTCGTAATGCGCGATGCGTGAATCGCGGGTAAGTCACGAATAGTGTGTAGGGGCTTGTTCGTTAAAAATTGATTCGTAAACAACATAGTGTGTTCTAGGTGATTTGCTTTTGGAGGCGGTAAATTGACGAATATCAAAGGCTGCGCATCAACACGAATCATTTATTCGCCGAAATTCGGGCTGTGTTCATAGTAAATTCGTCGATTCGTAGTGCGCGATCGTTTGTTTCGAGGACCCTCCAGTGCAGTGGTTAAAACTGTGTTTGATTCTTTAATAATAATTACTAATTACATTTATTTTATTATTATACATTCTGTATTTTTTTTTAAGTAATAATAGTTAAAAACAATGGCTGAACAAGATCGCAAGCAAGAATACGAGTGGTCTGATGCACGCGTTCTAGATTTAATCTATGAAATTGAACAATTGCATTGTTTGTGGGACGCAAGAGATAAAGATAAGAAAGATGGGAATAAAAAAAGGGACGCCTTTAAAATTATGGCAGAGAAGTTTGGAGTGACTGCTGAAGAAATTAGCAAGAAGTATTCAACTTTATTGCAAGCTTATAGAAACTATCGTTAAAAAATAAATAAGAGTAAATTGTCAGGAACCGGAACAAGCAATGTGTATAAACCAGTTTGGTTTGCATATAAAGCACTCAAGAAATTTATGAGAGATGTTTATACACCGCATGGAGTAACGAACACAATGGTAAGTATATTTTTATTGGCACTTTTTTAAATTACATCGACACACTATTTTAACATCATTATTGGTATTTGTCCTGCCACTTAATTTTGCCGTTTTTAATAAAGTATTCAGAAAACTCTTTGCGAATGTTCTTCAGGTCTGAACATGTTCTTCTGCCTCTTCTTTGTAGTGACAAAAATGATGTTTGTGGGTGAGTCTCATTTCTACAAGAACCATTGACAATTTTACCATCTTGTTCCTTATCAAATGTACCCAGTGGTGAGTAGATCGTTCTTGAGTTTTTGCTTTTTTTAGAAAATTATGGAGCAATACACAACAATATGTGATTAATCGAGCTTTATCTTGATGTAATAGAACGGGTTTTCGTAAAACTCGAAATACTACAGACATAATTCCAAATAATTTTTCATTACTCTGCGGGCTCTAGAAAGTCTGTAGTTGAATATACGCTCTGGTGTCATGATTTCCACTATTAGGAACCATGAGGTAAACTTTTAAAGGAAATGCGTTGTCACCAACAATAACATAGGGTACAGGCTTTTCTCTCATCGGAAATGGTTCCTCAGAAGGTAGGTTTAAGGTCTCATTTTCTAACGCTGCCTACAAGGAACAATTATTGAATACACCTCCATCTGATATTCGGCCTTGCGAGCCAACATTACTTGATGTTACACAGTAATCCGCGTCACACAAAGCTATGCGTACAATACTAAATGTTTCCTTGTATTTTATATATTCACTTCCATTATTTATGGGAGACATTATCATTACATGTTTCCCATCTACAGCCCCAACACAGTATGGAAAATTCCATCTGTCTTCGAATAAATCTGCAATCTTTTTCCATTCATTCACTCTTCTTCTGCATTTCAATCATCCTCCTCTCCTTCATTTCTACAAGTAGAATAGCCTGAACCTCCACTAGAACTACCCCCTTTTTACTCGTCATTCACAACCAGCTCCCATTTCACCCCAATCTGACAGCACACAATCACACACACGCTCACAATTTTCTGATCAAACACTGCAGTCATCTACTGCCACAACTCTAGCTGCTCAATGGTATACTGATTTCGTTAATAACAATATTTGAAAAAAAAAATACGTTTAATTTTTTTAATTTTTTTAAAATAACTCCAAAAAAACAGACTACAAAAT